CCACAGAATCGTTACTTAGGGCCACAGAAACGTTACTTAGGGACACAGATTTGTTACTCAGGGACAGACACAGAATTGTTACTGAGGGACACAGATTTGTTACTGAGGGCCACAGAACCGTTACTTAGGGCCACAGAAACGTTACTTAGGGACACAGAATTGTTACTCAGGGACAGACACAGAATTGTTACTCAGGGGACAGACACAGAATTGTTACTGAGGGACACAGAATTGTTACTGAGGGACACAGAATTGTTACTGAGGGACACAGAATTGTTACTGAGGGACACAGAATTGTTACTCAGGGACACAGAATTGTTACTGAGGGACACAGAATTGTTACTGAGGGACACAGAATTGTTACTCAGGGACAGACACAGAGTTGTTACTCAGGGACAGACACAGAATTGTTACTGAGGGACACAGAATTGTGTTTACTAGGGCCACAGTGTTACTGAGGGCCACAGAACTGTTACTTAGGGCCACAGAAACGTTACTCAGGGACACAGAATTGTTACTCAGGGACAGACACAGAATTGTTACTCAGGGACAGACACAGAATTGTTACTGAGGGACACAGAATTGTTACTGAGGGACACAGAATTGTTACTCAGGGACAGCAACAGGAATTGTTACTGAGGGACAGACACAGAATTGTTACTGAGGGACACAGAATTGTTACTGAGGGGGGGGGGGGGGGCCACAGAACTGTTACTTAGGGCCACAGGAACGTTACTCAGGGACACAGAATTGTTACTCAGGGACAGACACAGAATTGTTACTGAGGGACACAGAATTGTTACTGAGGGACACAGAATGTTACTGAGGGACACAAAATTGTTACTCAGGGACAGACACAGAATTGTTACTGAGGGCCACAGAACTGTTTACTTAGGGCCACAGAAACCTTACTCAGGGACAAGAATTGTTACTCAGGGACAGACACAGAATTGTTACTCAGGGACAGACACAGAATTGTTACTGAGGGACACAGAATTGTTACTGAGGGGACACAGAATTGTTACTGAGGGACACAGAATTGTTACTGAGGGCCACAGAAAACTGTTACTTAGGGCCACAGAAACGTTACTCAGGGACACAGAATTGTACTCAGGGAAAGACACAGAATTGTTACTCAGGGAGACAGAATCGTTTAATTAAAGAGTATGTCAGACAACATGCAGAGGAGTGGCAGAGGAGGCAATGTTTTAGGAGCGAGCAGACGTGGCAGCAGAGGAAGGGGTCGAGGCAGCACTATTCGCAGCCAGAGGCCAGTGCTCCCGGTGTCATCCACCGGTCGTGTCTCCACCGACAACCCTGCCGTCTAATCGATTAGTTGGCTCGGTCGTCTTCCTCTTCCCAGGTCACCTCTGGACACCTACAGCCAACGGTCGGTGGGTACGTCAGACACAACCGTTAGTTGGCATGGCCCGGGAGCAAGCCCACTGAAATCACGTGTCCTCTACCTGCCCCTGTCCTTTGGTGTTCCCTCACCAAGCGAAGTATCGCATGCTGTGGGCTCAGCCCCACTGTACAGTGAGGAAAGCTAACAGAGGGCGGTCAGGAACGGGGGGGGAGACATCCGCCTCTTCAGCAGCCAGGCGAAGAAGTAGTGGCGAGGAGAGCGTGGCTCGGTAGCCGGTCTAGAGACAGGTTCTGTCTCCTGACCCACACGCAGCCGAGGGGGGCTAGTAGTGAGGCGGAGACCCTAATTGATGATGATGAGGCTGATCGCACTTGCAGCCTCGTCGTCATCAGCAGGCTATTGCTTCCGCATCATCAGGAGAAGAGGGTGCCAGCTTGGCAGCGAGCAAAACAGTCGGTGGGTTGCCCAGGAGGCAGCAGGGTCGCAGCAGTGTCAGTGGAGCCAAACGGCCACGGAGTAGAGCACCAGCTCCACTGCAGCCTACCACCATGGCCAGTAGTGGTGCCGGTGTGCACGGAGGAAGTAGCAGTCAGCCAGTGAGGAGTAGCGGGGGCAAAGTTTCCTACTCGGCGGTGTGGCAATTTTTCGTCAAGCGCCCGAGGAAGTAAACGTAGCCGTATGTCGACTATGTGGCCAGAAAGTCAAGCGTGGCCAGGGGGCCAATGTTGGGGACTACAGCATTGCGTCAGCATATGCAGCGTCGCCATTCGGTGGCCTGGGAAAACCGTGATAAAGATACGGCGGTTCTGCCTGCCCCCGCCCCCGCTCCATCACCCGCTCCGTTTACTTGCTCCGTCACCCGACGTCAATCGCCCTCTATCAGCCAGTCAAGGCTCCACACCTCTGCTGAGGGGAGTTGTCGCTCGTTGGCATCTTCCGCTCGTTCAGATGCTCCTTCTCCTGCTACTCCTCTTCACGGATTCCGTCAGCAGTCTTTCTTGGAATCCGTTTCCAAGAGACAACAGTTTGCGAGCACGCACCCGACGGTGCGAAAAGCTGAACGTCCTCCTGTCCAAGTTGCTGGTGCTGCAGTCCCTCCCTTTCCAAGTGGTGGACTCAGCACCTTTCCGAGAAATGATCGGCTTGTGCCGCGCCGCGGTGGAGAGTGCCAAGCCGTCATTTCTTCGCCAAAAAGGCAGTGCCAGCCCTGCATTCACATGTAGAAGAGATGGTGGGCCAGTCTTTGAGCATGTCGGTCTCTGCCAAAGTGCACGGCAGCGCCGACGTGTGGAGCTGTAACTACGGTCAGGGACAGTACATGTCATTTACGGCCCACAGGGTGAACGTGGTGCCGTCAGCCGCCGCACCAGCAACTTGGACAGGTCACGCCGCTTTTGCTTCCACGTTTGCACGTCCTTGGTCCGGCAAAGATGTCCGCCTCTACCACCTCTTCTTCCGCCGTGTCCTCAGCCGCCACCCCGTGCCAAGTCCCATTACCCGACCCTTCAATATCACATGTGCAGGGCGCAACGGTGTCACGCTGTGCTGCACCTGGTATGCCTTGGCGAACGTAGTCACACAGGGAGGAACTTCTGAGTGTAATGAACAGAGAAATCGACAGATGGCTGTCTCCGCGCAAACTGAAAATCGGAACCATGTTGACCGACAACGGAAAGAACATGGTGTCTGCTCTGCGTCACGGAAGGTGTTGTACCATGCGCCATGCATGGCTCACGTGTTCAATCTGGTTTGTCAAGCGGTTCCTAAAATCCACCATCCCACTGCAAGACATCCTTAAAATGTCACGTAAAACTTTGCATGCATTTCAGCCATTCCTACACGCAAAGCACCACCCTCCTTGAGCTGCAGCGGGCACGAACGGGGAATTCCCGCATTGCCCTGATCTGCGACGTTGCAACAAGGTGGAATTCAAACCTACACATGTTTAGACCGCCTTTACGAACAGCGAAAGGCCATCACCGATTTCCTGATGTTACAAGCGGATAAAGGAACTCCCCTGTGTAACTTCGATGTCAGCCATTGGCAGCTCATGCGTGACACCTGCCGCTTGCTCAGGCCCTTTGAGGAGGCCACGCTATTCGTGAGTCGGCAGGACTATGGGATGAACAAGTCATTCCTCTGTTGCACGTCCAGGAACAAATGCTGTTAACAATGGCTGGTCGGGGTGCGGTAGACGTGGCGCACAGATCTCATCGCCACATGACCCCTGTGGGGGCAGGACAGGAAGAAGAGGAGGAGGTAGAGGAGGACATTTGTGCTCAGGAATTATTGAGTGAAATGGGTGGTTTTTCCACTCAGCGGACAGGAGTGGAGGGGAGCATCTGGTATGGAGGAGGAGGAGACAGAGGACCCAGACGCACCGTGGCAGTATGCTGTGGAGATGGAGGCAGGGAGTCCCTCGCATTCCTTGGCACAAATGGCCCATAGCATGCTCGCTTGCTTGCGTAGTTTTCCGACAGCCGAATTAATAACCATCAGACAGAGGGTGACTTTTGGCTGTCCACTTGTTGGACCCTCGCTACCGTTCAAAAATGGTGGCCTTTTTCACACCTGCTGAGAGGGAGGCCAAAATAACGTACTATAAAAACCACCTATGTAGTCAGCTGGTCTCTGCCTTTTCTGCGCCAATGTCCATCCTCTCAGACACTGTGGGCCCTGTGCGCTCGCGTTCCGCTGCCATGGCAGCAGGGGAGGGGTGGGGTGGTAGGAGCAGTGGCCAGCTCCACCAGCAGCGGCTGCCTCAGTCTGCAGTCGATGATGAGTAGCTTTCTTCACCAGCGCAGTGAGGAACTACTAACCAGCCGCAGCAGCAGCAGCTGCATCAGGTGGACCTGGGAGCAGGACCTCAAACAACAGGCTTAGGCCTACTTGGACAGCACCCTGCCAACCGAGGTAGACAATCCCCTTGACTACTGGGCAATGAAACTTGACCTTTGGCCCCAACTAGCTGAATTTGCCCTTGAAAGGCTGTCATGCCCGGCCAGTAGCGTGGCATCGGAGCGCGTGTGTTTAGTGCGGCAGGAGATATTGTAACTCCGCGGAGGACACGACTGTCCACCCAAAGTGTGGAGAGACTCACGTTTGTGAAAATGAATCAGGCGTGATTAGTCTGGATTTCAAACCACCAGTTCCTGACACAACTGACTAAATCCGCCATCCAAATCATGCCCCAAACATTTGCCACTTTCAGGTCTCCTCACACTGCTGGTGTGTTCCATTTTTGTCATAGGGTGCTGGCAGATTACGGCCCTCCCATTGCTGCTGCCAGGCCCGTAATCTGCCATGGGCCCCTGTACGCCTCCCTCATGCTGCTGCCAGGTCCTGAGTGTGTGTTATGGGTCCCTGTACGGCCTCCCATTGCTGCTGTCTCCATCGCCACACTCTGCCATGTGCCACTTTCAGGTCTCCTCACACACTGCTGGTGTGTTCCATTTTTTTCATAGGGTGCTGTCTTTAAAAGAAGATTACGGGCCTCCCATAGCTGCTGCCAGGCCCTAATCTTCCATGGGCCCCTGTACCGCCTCCTCATGCTGCTGCCAGGTCCACAGTGTCTCATGCCATGTGCCACTTTCAGGTCTCTCACACTGCTGTTGTGTTCCATTTTTTGTCATAGGTGCTGGCAGATTACGGGCCTCCCATTGCTGCTGCCAGGCCCGTAATCTGCCATGGGCCCCTGTACCGCCTCCTCATGCTGCTGCCAGGTCCAGAGTCTCTCATGGGTCCCTGTACAGCCTCCCATTGCTGCTGTCTCCATCGCCACACTCTGCCATGTGCCACTTTCAGGTTCCTCACACACTGCTGGTGTGTTCCATTTTTTGTCATAGGGTGCTGGCAGATTACGGGCCTCCATTGCTGCTGCCAGGCCCGTAATCTGCCATGGGCCCCCGTACCGACTCCTCATGCTGCTGCCAGGCCCGTAATCTGTCATGGGCCCCTGTTGTCGCTTGTTGGCATATTCCGCTCGTTCAGATGCTCCTTCTCCTGCTACTCTCTTCACGGATTCCGTCAGCCAGTCTTTCTTGGAATACGTTTCCAAGAGACAACAGTTTGCGAGCACGCACGCCGACGGTGCGACAGAAGCTGAACGTCCTCCTGTCCAAGTTGCTGCTGCCAGGCTCGTAATCTGTCATGCGCCCCTGTACCGCCTCCTCATGCTGCTGCCAGGTCCAGAGTGTGTCATGGGCCCCGTACCAACTCCTCATGCTGCTGCCAGGCCCGTAATCTGTCATGGGCCCCTGTACCGCCTCATCATGCTGCTGCCAGGTCCAGAGTGTGTCATGGGTCCCTGTACGGCCTCCCTATTGCTGCTGTCTCCATCGTCACACTCTGCCATGTGCCACTTTCAGGTCTCCTCACACTGCTGGTGGTTTCCATTTTTGTCATAGGGTGCTGTATGGCCTCCCATTGCTGCTGCCTCCACCGCCACACTGTGGCTCCACACTGGTTTGGCCTCGTGACTGCCCAAATGAGTGAAAGTGTGCGGTGATTCTAAGATCGACAGGACTCATCTGCATGTCATACTGACTGTCAGTATTATTTTTCTCTTCCCCAGCAGACTCCAAGGGCATTTAAATTAAAGGTACAGTGTTCTGCACTAATATAAAGGCTCTCTGAAGCCTAGAAACACCCTTTTATAAGTTAAATTCGCAGCGAATATATTCGACTCGAATCGAAATTTTTCCACGAATTCGCCGACATCAGTCGAATCGAATTTTTGAATACTTCGCTCATCTCTAATGACCAGAGACTGCGGACAGTACAGATGACTGCTGACCTTTGGGGAGGTGGGGAGCGGGTACCTGAATTTGACAGGTACCCGCTCTTACTTCCGCAGAGTTTTTGTTTGATCTTACCTGTTCCTCGATCCAGCCGCGCGCTGTCTTCCAGGCTTCTGTAATGGCACTCAGCATGACAGCCGGGTGCCCAGTGCGCATGAGCGAGAAGCACTTGCGCTTTGTGATTGGTCCGGCAGCTTCTGGGATCTGTCATATGTCCCAGGTACCGCCTTACCATTCACAAAAAGCACCGCTTCTTGCGCATGCGCACTTGGCACCCAGCTGTCATGCCCAGTGCCCACACTACAGAAGCCGGAAGACAGCGCGCCGCTGGATAGAGGAACAGGTCAGATCAAAGAACAAAGTAAGAGCGGGTACCTGTCAAATTCAGGTACCTGCTCCCCACCTCCCCAAAGGTCAGCAGGCATCTCCATAAGGTCCCGCTGCAGAGCTGAGCGGCCGGCCCGGTATTCTGACACGGCCGCGGTGGAAATACCGGACTGGCCGCTCCATATTCGCTCCATAAGACACACTGACATTTCCCCCCTTTTTTGGGGGGAAAAAAGTGCGTCTTATGGAGCGAAAAATACGGTAACTGTTTTTTGCAAATGTTAAATTGTTGGGTTTAGTTCCCCTTTAATGTAATGGTCTTTCTAGTGGAATTACATGGTCATGATGTACGGTAATTTTCCTGCCTCTGTTTTTCTACTGTTTTCCAGTAAAACAAGAATGTCATATGTCAAGCAAGATCTGACTGGTAATATCGGCAGCAGTTTTCCAATAGCTTCTGGACTCAGCCACAGTCAAAGTACTAAAATATTGCTGCAGATGCAGATCTCTGATAAAGGAAAAGGTCAGAAAGCATGTATGACAGCTTCTAACAGTGTTTCCTCAAAGCTTTAAGAACTACCTGCCCTGGAAATTTAGAATGCAAATGCTTCTCATAAGAGAAGATACATAAAAGGGTATACAAGAGCCCAAAAGAAAACCACTTAGTCCTCATGCACACTGGACGTTTTTACAGCTGCTGTTTTTGGCTTTTGATTTTTTTTTTCTACAGCTAGTAAACTCCCCAGCATGTTATCCTATGTGTCCATGCACGCATACAGTCAGGTCCATAAATATTGGACATCAACACAATTCTAACATTTTTGGCTTTATATACACCACCACAATGGATTTGAAATGAAACGAACAAGATGTGCTTTAACTGCAGACTGTCAACTTTAATTTGAGGGTATTTACATCCAAATCAGGTGAACGGTGTAGGAATTACAACAGTTTTCATATGTGCCTCCCACTTGTTACAGGACCAAAAGTAATGGGACAGAATAATAATCATAAATCAAACTGTCACTTTTTAATACTTGGTTGCAAATCCTTTGCAGTCAATTACAGCCTGAAGTCTGGAACGCATAGACATCACCAGACGCTGGGTTTCATCCATGGTGATGCTCTGCCAGGCCTCTACTGCAACTGTCTTCAGTTTCTGCTTGTTCTTGGGGCATTTTCCCTTCAGTTTTGTCTTCAGCAAGTGAAATGCATGCTCAATCAGATTCAGGTCAGGTGATTGACTTGGCCATTGCATAACATTCCACTTCTTTCCCTTAAAAAACCCTTTGGTTGCTTTTGCAGTATGCTTTGGGTCATTGTCCATCTGCACCGTGAAACGGCGTCCAATGAGTTCTAAAGCATTTGGCTGAATTATGAGCAGATAATATTGCCCGAAACACTTCAGAATTCATCCTGCTGCTTTTGTCAGCAGTCACATCATCAATAAATACAAGAGAACCAGTTCCATTGGCAGCCATACATGCCCACGCCATGACACTACCACCACCATGCTTCACTGATGAGGTGGTATGCTTAGGATCATGAGCAGTTCCTTTCCTTCTCCATACTCTTCTCTTCCCATCACTCTGGTACAAGTTGATCTTGGTCTCATCTGTCCATAGGATGTTGTTCCAGAACTGTGAAGGCTTTTTTAGATGTCGTTTGGCAAACTCTAATCTGGCCTTCCTGTTTTTGAGGCTCACCAATGGTTTACATCTTGTGGTGAACCCTCTGTATTCACTCTGGTGAAGTCTTCTCTTGATTGCTGACTTTGACACACATGCACCTACCTCCTGGAGAGTGTTCTTGATCTGGCCAACTGTTGTGAAGGGTGTTTTCTTCACCAGGGAAAGAATTCTTTGGTCATCCACCACAGTTGTTTTCCGTGGTCTTATGGGTCTTTTGGTGTTGCTGAGCTCACCGGTGCGTTCCTTCTTTTTAAGAATGTTCCAAACAGGTGTTATGGCCACGCCTAATGTTTTTGCTATCTCTCTGATGGGTTTGTTTTGTTTTTTCAGCCTAATGATGGATTGCTTCACCGATAGTGACAGCTCTTTGGATCTCATCTTGAGAGTTGACAGCAACAGATTCCAAATGCAAATATCACACTTGAAATGAACTCTGGACCTTTTATCTGCGCATTGTAATTGGGATAATGAGGGAATAACACACACCTGGCCATGGAACAGCTGAGAAACCAATTGTCCCATTACTTTTGGTCCCTTAACAAGTGGGAGGCACATATGCAAACTGTTGTAATTCCTACACTGTTCACCTGATTTGGATGTAAATACCCTCAAATGAAAGCTGACAGTCTGCAGTTAAAGCACATCTTGTTCGTTTCATTTCAAATCCATTGTGGTGGTGTATAGAGCCAAAAATGTTATAATTGTGTTGATGTCCCAATATTTATGGACCTGACTGTAGACTGTAATCAATGTTTTTTGGCATGGATATTTTTTGGCTGTAAAAAAAACCCAGGACTATTGGGTTTCTAGAGGAGTTTTTTAGCTGTAAAAATGCTTTAATGCTGAAAAACGTGGTAAAAAATGCCACAAACCGGCATTTTTGGACTCTTTTTCACCAAAAAAATAATTTTTTCTTGCTAAAAAAAAACGCTCAAAAATGCAATCACTGAAACGTGGGAAAACGCCTCTAAACGGTAATGCAAAAACGCTAAAAAGAGCTGAAAAACTTGCATTTTTTTAATGTGACTTTACACAGCTAACTTTACCAGCGTTATCAAAATACCCAGTGTGCATGGAGCATTACACATGAGTGGGCAGAGAAAGGTCAAATAGCTCAATGTACTATAACCTTAAGCATAGATGATTATTAAATTGTGTGCATGTACAAATTTGAAACCCCAAAATAAATAAATGTGGAAAGAGATACAGAAGTACTAAGCTAATTAAATGCCAGAACACACAGGACTATATAAGGACTATATAAGATGCACCTTAGAAATGGTGGAATGCCTGCCCGTTATAGAAGAAATAAAAGACTGTCATATAGCAGCACTGCTATTCAGTGGTCTTACAGACAGCTATGACACTCTTGTTACAGTACTTGATGTTCACCCAGATTGAATTTACCCTGGAATATGTTAAAGCGGTGAGGACACCACTGGACCGAGGGGCAGGTAAGTGTCTGTATTTTAGAGACAACAGGAACTGCTGACCGCTTTATTCAACAGGAACTCCGCTTTAAGTTTATGGATGAATGTAAGGGGGAAAAATGCAAACAGTGAAAATGCTGCTAATTCAGAGTCTGCATCCAATGACCATAATAATAGTAATATGCATGTTGGCAGGTGTTAGTGCACCTTAATGTGTAGCCCCTCCTGTGGTGATATAGTGGGCAGAGTAAGTGCTCCTTTATATGCCAGCTGTGGGTGGAACCCAGGTGTTGGACTGCCAGGATGACCAGAAAAGGACACATAGGGGAATGATGGAGAAACCTTGCCACCCCTGACCTTTATCTAGAAGGTCCTGTGACTTAGTTTAGAACGGCCTCAGTGCCTAATGCTAGGTCCACGTGTAAACCTCAGAGGTCGCCATACTAACGATGAGATGTTAGTGCAGCGATCTCCCCGCTGAGCTATTGTGTTCTGACAGGGGAACCACCCCCTCCCGCCAGAACACAATAATCAGTGCTCGCAGCCATTGGCTATGAGCGCTGATCGGATGCTAGTAGAGAGTGGCACAAAATGGTGGAGTATCTCCAAAACGACAGGTAGTTGACTATCCCATCCAAGTATAAGTGAGGCAGGACCTGGGTCAGTATGGTGTGAACCCCTGTCCAATTCAGGTCCCTTACATGCATTATGAAACAGCTGCATGTTTTGTGTGTAAAAAGACAAGTTAAAGACTATGTTCACCTTTTTTTCTAAATTCCTGCTTCCCTATGTACAAATAAACCCTTAATGTACTTCTGTTGCAGAAAAAAAGCCTTTCTCCATATTCAAGGGCAGGTCTCACCTCAGCTTCCAGTTTATCCTATATAAAACTCCTCCATGACTTCCTGGTATATGTCCTTTGGTATGCGCAAACTGTTAGACCCCTTTCACACTTCATTCATTTCAAATAAAAAAATGGATCAGTTTACATCAGTTTTTCATCAGTTTCTCCATTAGTTTTGTTACATCCACTTAACCACTTGAGTCCCTGAGCCATTTTTTTAGGCCTGAAGATTACTTAATACCCCCAAACATTATATATTTTCTAAAAGCAGACACCCTAGAGAATAAATTTGTGGTAGTTCCAATTTTCAATTCATGTCACATGGTCTCATTGCAACAGCTTCTAAAATGCAAAATGTCAGTAAAAAATACACTAAAGTTAATTTTAGGGGCACACAAACATAATAATTTACCTAATTTGTTGGTAAAGTATAAAAGATGATGCACCGAATAA